TTTGAGTAAGCCTTTCACTTCAATGTTTTTTATCAATTTATAACTATAACAATTTATAGCTATAAACATCATTTGCAGCACTTGACTTGAGACAGTGGGAATGTTAGTGCATAACAAAGACTCATGTGTAAAAAAAACTACCATGGAAGTCACAACATGGCGGTACCAGCCATCATTTTCCAGCTTCCCTTTCTCCCCAGCTGGTACAGGAACCTTTTTTTTCCAGTAGCCATGATTTTTGTCTTTTTAATAAAATGAAAAGAGAGGCATAGACTGACAGACTAACAGATCAGCTACTGTAATTTCTCTCTTTCTCAACTCCCAGAATCTACCCCCCCCCAAAAAAAGCGGGGGGGTAATAAAAACTCAAAAGCACCAGAGACACTGTTGAAGGGGTAGATATGCCCCTGCAGTCAGTCTTGCGTCTCATTTCGCTTTCTGGCAGACTTATGGTTACTTAACCATGAGCTAGCTAGGTTTACATGATGATGGTGATGATGCTGTAACAATATCAGATAAGCTCAAAACAAGCCAGGCTATAGATTGCCATAAATACAGTCTCATCCATTATTTCAATTCCACTGACATCCTAGTGCAACAACAATATGGTATAGTGGATCATTCAAACCAGGTAAGCAATTTAAGCTGTTCACTGAGCAATTACTAACTGAAAGCTTGAATATCAAGTATATTTCTTATTATCTTAAGAAGCAGCTAATTCAACAAGACATTTTTTTCATGTTTACTGTATACCTCAGGGTATGTTTAAAAATATCTGGTTATTAACTTTATTATGTTAATGTGTGGAGGGACACTTTCTCAAATTATATGGGCTTGTGCTACTGTTGCCTGAAGGCTATCAGGCTCTGTATGGGGCAAAATAAACTCAAATTAAACCTCTCCAAGACTGAATTGCTGTACATCAGTAGGCATCTAGGAACATCAGTGCTGGGGGTTGTGGTCCCCCTAAGAGTTGGTAAATGACTTGGGGATTTTCCTAGACTGCTGCTACTGCTTAAACAACAGTGGAGGACCTTTTCTCAGTTTTGGCTGGGGGACTTTTGCTCAATTCTGACTTGCACCAATTGCACCAATTATGACTATACCTGACCCAGGACACTTTAATGTTGGATTATTGTAATGTGCTCTATATGGGGCAGCCTTTCAAGACAATCTGGAAACAACAACTAGTCCAGAATACAGCAGTGAGATTGCTGGCTGGTCAATCCAGCCATTGTAGTGTAACACTTCTCCTGAAGTCACTATAGTGATTATTAATAAACTTCCAGGCCAAATTTGAACTGCTGGTAGCAATCACTAAAGCTCTGTATGGTGTAACACCAGCTTAAAGCAGGCACCACCTTGCCAGAACTGAATCTGCTCATCTGGTGAAAATATCTTGGCAAGACCTGTTAAGAGTTCCATCTTCAGCTGAAGTGAGAGCAATGTGGACAGGATAACAGGTCTTCTCTGTGGTGGGCCCCACACTTTAGAACTCTTTATCCCCAGAGGTCCATAAAGCTCCCTCCCTCATACTTTCTAGAAGATCTTTAAAGGCAGTTTCATTTCACTGAGCCTTCAACCCTAGTTAAGTATAACACCTCTTGGGGAATGGTTGATTTATTATTTAATTTCTTACTAGTTGATTTGTTACTAGTTGTTATATTACCTGTGCTTATAATCTGATTTATTATTGCTGCTTTTATCATTTTAATGTATTGCAAACTGCTTAGGGTCTTTTGATTTGGATGGGCTATAAAAACTGTTAAATAAATGAATAAAATATTGTCTGGATTTAGTTTGATATAAATAAGTTTGTAAATATTGTGTTACTAAAATCAATGCAATTTATTAAGATGTGAATGTACCTTTGAATTATATACCAAAAATTTGGAGCTTAACATTATATGAATAATGATGGAACTGAACATGGGGAGGAGAGTAAAAAAGATCACTCTTTAATATTGAGAAGAGCACAACTCCAAATTTACTATCTTGGATCACTATAGGTGTTTACTTTCTATTTATGAGTTGGCTGTGTATTGACATAATGGAAAGACTGATCAATATTATTTTCTGCAGTCAGGATTTAATTATGTGTTTTAAAACTAGGTTAATGATTTCTCGTTTGCAAGACAATATGTTCTTGTTATTTCTTCTATTTTGTTCCTCTTTTCCATATATTTAAGAAACAAAAATTACTTTTTAAAATTATCTGGTTTTTCCTGGTAAAATTACAGACTATTTTATGGTTGAGTAATAAACAGAAACATAGTAGTTGAAGCTCCCTCAAATATGGTATTTTCATGAAGACTTTAATTTGCTGGATTTCTGCTAGTGAAGGCAAGCTCAAGCAAGACAAAATAAGCTAATAAGCTTGCTAACTGCTTTCTCTTGAATTCTTTAATTCTGTGACCTCTGGATTGGTCATAGCAGCTGGAGAATTGTAGGATTTGCTCCAACATACCTGGAGAGCACCAGCTGAGGAATGCTAGTCTTCTAATTCACAAAATATCTAAATCCTGATATGTGAAGGATAGATTGAATGAGATAGAAGCATGTGTAAATACTGTATGTACAAACACAATAAAACTGTAAATATTATTGGGTTGCACTCATTTTCAGGATACCATTGGCTGACAACTCTTTTAAAACAGTTATGATAAAGAGTTCTGATACACTAATAGTAAAACCTAAAACATATTTTAAGATTAAAACACAATTAAACCTTGAATAAGACTGCAGACCTCAAATAAGGTCAGTCATAATGAAAGTAATCCATAGGATCTTACTGAACCTTTATCCATATGCACATTTACTCAAAAGTAAATCCTTCTGCGTTTACCAGAACTTACTGTAAGTAGATGTGCTTAGCATTGCAGCTATTCAGCACAAGTCTATACATCTTTATTCAAAAATAAGTAGTGCTAGGTTCAATGGGGTTTAGTCCCAGGAAAGTATGTATAGTGTTTCAGCTCTATATTCCTATGTCTAGGAATGAAGAAGCAAGCACATCATAAAAATCTGGGTTGGTACCAAAAGGATAAAATCATACCACTAAAACATGTTTAATATCATTTTTTCTGTTTCTCAATCTCACATAAGTATGACAGTGTGGTATGTATATGTATGTACGTATGTGTGTGTGTGTGTGTGTGTATATAAATATATATATATATATATATATATATATATATAGT